TCTCACAGTTCAGGCGGCCAGAGGGCTGGGAGCTAGCCTCTCACGGTCCAGGCGGCCAGAGGGCAGGGAGCTAGCCTCTCACAGTTCAGGCGGCCAGAGGGCAGGGAGGACAGTGCTGGCCCTGGGGGATGGCTCTCTGTGTCCACTAGTGCTGAGGAGGACCCCAGTGCAGGGACGCCCCAGTCCAGAGGGCGCACTTGGCTCCCGGCACTACTCTCTTGGTGAGGACCTCAGTGCAGGGTCCCTACCCTGCGTCCAGAGGGCGCACTTGGCTCCCGGCACTAGTCTCTTGGTGGGACCGATGTCCCTCCTTCTCCGCTCCCTTCTCTCTCCTTCTATCTCTTGTAAGATAAAAGGTGGTGCAGGCCACACCCCAGGAGACTTCCCTTCCATCAGATCAGGGCTGTGACAGGATTAAGGGTGCTGCATCCCACCCTAAAATCCTCACAGCTGGACCAATAAGCAGCATCATAACGATGGAGAAAAGACTGAAGTTGTCAAAGATTTCACATCACTTGGTTCTACAATCAGCACCCACGGAAGCAGCAGTCAAGACACTGGACAATGTATTGCACTGGGCACATCTGCTGCAAAAGACCTCTTTCAAGTGCTGAAGAGCAAAGATGTCTCTTTGAAAACTAATGTGCGCCTAACCCAAGCCATGACATTTTCAGTCACCTCATATGCATATGAAAGCTTGATAATGAATAAAGAAGATCGAAGAATTGATCCTTTTGAGTCGGGCTGTTGATGAAGAATGCGGAAGGTACCATGGACCGCCAGAAGAACGAACAGGTCTGTCCTAGAGGAAGTGCAGTCGGAATGCTCCTTGGAAGCGAGAATGGCCAGACTTGGTCTCACCTACTTTGGTCATGTTGTCAGAAGGGACCATTCCCTGGAGAAGGATGTCCTGCTTGGTAGGGTGGAGGGTCAGTGAAGAAGGGGAAGGCCCTCAACGAGATGGATTGACACGGGGGCTGCAACGCTGGGCTCAGGCACAGCAGGGATTGAGAGACTCCTAGAAGACCTGGCAGCGTTTTGTTCTGTTGCACATGGGATCCCTGTGAGTCAGAGCCGACTCGATGGCCCCTAAAAACCACAACTACAACGTCCCACCCTAATCGCCTTACAACTGACTGGCTGATCACATCAGGTGACATGATGCCGGATGAGTACCTCATTACCTGCCAAACCACCAGACATCACGGCCCAGCTGAGTTGGCACGTATTTTGGGATGGGGTGTGCTTCAGTCTGTGACAGAGTTCATGCCCCTGCACCTGGAAGCACAGCCCTGTTTGGAGCCAAGGCTCTCCTGTTGGGTTAACGAGCCCGAGTGGAGCAGGTGGGGCCTGCACCTCACCATCTCTGGGCTGAGAGGAGCAGGGCGAGCACTGACACAGACGCCACGTGGGGCAGCTCCACACAAAGAACCAGGGCGGGGTGGCCGCCAGCCGGCACGTCCCAGAACCCACACACCAGACCCGGGACCCAGGCCCCGCAGGCAGCAGCGTGGCTGAGACCTGACAGGGACTACGCACCTCTAGGACGCTGACACAGTGAATTCCCCTTCCTTAAGGTCAGCAGGTGACACTTTTGGAAGGTAGCACGAGGAGACTGAGCCACCCCACAAAAACGTAAAGGCTGGCGAATACAGCAGCACGGCCAAAGCCACCGTGGGAATCCCACACGTGGTGTTTCCGTGATGTAAACGGCATCAGAGCTCTGGCAGTTCTCCTTCCCCTGCCCGGCCCTGAGATCCACCCATCTCCCGGCTGCAGGGCAGAGTGAGTGCACACGCATCCCCGGGGCACGTGTCCCGCACTCGCTCCCCTACGCTGCCCCCCCGCAGCCACTCACCAGCATGTCCAGGGTGTACTTGGTACACAGAGACCAGTCGTACATGCCCAGGCAGCTGATGAAGGCGTGGACTTTCAGGGGTGCCTGCAGCAAGTCCTCCATATTCAGGAAACTGTACTCAAAAATCCGCTTGCAACGCAGGAAGTTCAGCTCACGGTACCTCTCCAAAGGCAGGTGGGCTCCACGGTGCTGGACAAACAGAGGGTCGTTCTCCAGCGCCGAGAAGATGGTTCTCTGTGAACGCAACGGCAGGAGGGACTGATGCAGGCAGAGGAGGGGTCCGCCAGCTCTCGCTCTGCGGCTGTGCTCAGGGGCTGCCGGCCCCACCAGACACGCGGGGCAGAGATGGAGGGCACTCCCCAAGGAAAGGAGGGGCGCGAGGCAGGGCATTAAACGCTCAGTGGCAGGCCCGGGCCTCAGCAGTTCCCGGGGCCCTGCGTGCGCCCAGCTCTGTGCTCGGCCCCAGGGCAGGGAACGGCAGCAGGTCCCGCGCTGGGCTCGGGTCACTGTCAGCAGCCCCGGCACGACCTCACTTTATCAAGTAGGGGCTGAGGGGCCCAGAGGTCACCTGCCTTCAAGAGCCACGGTGTTGGCGGAACTGCCTGGGCCTCGCGGGCCCACGTGCACAGAGAGAACCGTGCGCCATGGTGTTTTCAGGGCTGCAACCCCAAACAACTGCATAACCAGGCCCGTCTCGAAGGGCCTCTGCACGGGTTTCTTCATGCCCTCACCACCGTGGGTTTGAACCACAAATCCTTCAGCCAGCACTTGACTGTTTAACCCCTTGCATGACCCACGGCCTACTGTAAGAGCCATTTAATCCCATTTTTGCCAATGAACTTAGCAGATTCCACCATTAATCAGCGTTACACAGGTGTATGCAATGCCTTCGACCACATATGTGCAAGTAATTATAATCGGACGTTAGAAAAGGAAATTGTCTGCCTGTCACAGTAGAAAGAACATAACACTGTAGTCCTGGCGAGGCCCTGTCGTGCAGCAAAGTACACGAGATGGCTTCTCTAGCCGTAGTATCTGTCAGCCCCACTCGGCCATGAGTAACTGAGTAGCTGCTGGTTAAAGTCGTCTACCTGGAGCAGCACAAAGCAATCTTCTGAGAAGTTTGCTCTCTCTCAGGTGTACAGAATTCTGATGTTGGTATTGGTTAGGTGGGCCACTCTGCCAGGCTCAAAAGGAGCCCCCCTAGAGGCAGAAGAAAGCCTCTGACTGTTGGCTGAGAAAGACATGCTGCTGAGAGAGAGACATACTACTGAGAGAGACTGAGAGAAGCTGTCGGCTGAGAGAGACTGAGCATGTTCCTGAACTTGAATTATAGCCTGTTACTTCCCTGATAAACCCCACAGTTCTCTGTGGCCACTGCAGCAAATTAACGAACCTGACAGAGAGGTGGTGAGTGCCATGAGTGGAACGGTTGGTGTGAAGGTTGTTAAGAGGCCTGGAGGGTGGCAGCATGTCTGGCCTCACAGGAACAGGCCTCGGGCTGCTGATGGCGACTCTGTCCTCCTCTTGTGGAGTTAGAGGAGGTCAGAAGATGCCGCCTCCCAGCCCCTTTCACAAGCCCTTCATGTGTGAAGCTCAGGACAGAGTCAGGCCCCAGCCCTGGGCTTGGGCACATTCACTGAGAGAAGGCAGAGACAGAAGGCCTCGTAGGGTCTCACTCTCTCCCAGGACTGACTCTGCACTGGGCCTCCATCCCCCACAGCCAGCCTCGGACCCTAGTGACGAGGGACCTCCACTAAGGATGAGCTGCCGGTTAAGCCCTCCTGCTGGGGAGACCTCGAGTTCAAGGTAAACGCCTGAAGTCTAAAGGTTTGGGCTCCAAGCATATATCCGTGGCTCGTGCGGATCCCTGGAAGAACATACTGTCCTGATTCTTTGATCTGCCTGAACCTCTGGGGTCCTGCCTGTGTGTGTGGCCGTGACGACCTTGAAAACACTTTATAAACATGAGCTGGTTATAAACATGAGCATTTCTTCATTTCATTTTAAAACTGAACCCCAGGATGGCAGGACGCCTCGGCACAGCCACACGCCTCTCACCTTAAAGCGGACCACCTCCTCTCCTTCCAGGAAGAGCAGCAGGTGCTTCCAGTCGAAGGATGCTCTGGTACGGAATGCCTGGAGGGGCCCCTGCGGGAGGTCCGGCACCAGTGCCTTGTCCTCTCCTTCCAAAGTGGACGCCATCGGCTCACACAAACCTACACAGGACATGCACAGTGACTGGACGATTTAGCTCTAGCAGTTCATACAACCCACACACAACTGTGTCATTGGTAGTGTGCAATACATGACAGGAAGCCAACCAAACCACTGTCATCGAGACGATTACCACTCATAGTGACCCTGGTGGGCTGGGCAGAGCTGCCCCCTAGGGCTTCCAAGGCTGTCAGTTTTTTCAGAAGCAGACTGTCACATCTTTCTCCTGCAGAGCACTTGTGGGGTATGAACTGCTGACGTTCTGGTTAGCAGCCGAGAGCTTCACCACAATGCTACCCAGGGCTCCTTAAATGGGAGGAAAACAAACCCTAATTCCAAAGGGACAGTAAAGAAGTAGTACCACCTGGATAGGGCATGCCCATCATAACCAGTGAATAACTTAGGGGTCTACCCAGGAGTTGGCAAAGTTTGGCTATAAAGGGCTGGATACTGAATATTGTAGGCTGCATCCTATGCCATCTGGCTTGCATGGAAACTACCACTTTTGGATGCTGCCGCTGTAGGCAGCATGCCAGGTACAGCCCCAGTCCAAGAGCGCTTTGTTTACAAAGACAGGCTTTGTGAATGGTGGGAATTAACACACTCCTAAATAACCAAAGAGTCAAAAAAGAAATCAAGATGAAAATCAGAAGATAGTTTGAGGTGAATGAAAAGAAAACACACACAGCAAACTCATGGCATGCAGCTAAAGCTGTGTTAGAGGTAAATTTATAGTCGTAAATGCCTATATTAAAAAATATCTCAAATGAGTAACTTAATCTTCTACCTTAAGACACTTGAGAAAGACAAATAAAACCTAAAGCAAGCAAAAGAAAGACAAAGTCAAAGATCAGAGCATAATCACTGAAATAGAAAGCTGGGTCTTCGAAACATTAACAGATTCTATTAGGAATGTCTATGAAGCAGAAAGTGTACCCAAGACCACGTATAGGGTTGGCAGACAATGGTCCTGTAAGTGTATTTGTATGATCTTAATTTCCAGGTGTATAGTAGAGCTGACAAGGGACAAGGTTGTAATCACTTCTTGGTCACAGCCAGCTACCCAGA